CGTCCCGCCACGGAGCAGCTGAGAGTTGTGTTACTTTGGATTAAGCTCCTGTATTGTGTTGCCTGTCTTTGTCTCCTGCCTGTTTATGCAATGCTGGTCAACATGTCATCACTCCCATATCTAAAAACAAACCTTTAGGACACTCTGTCATCACTGGAAACATGCATGGGGTTGTTAAAGCTAAACAATGAAAGATAAACTGGGTAATCCACCTGTCTAAAATGTATTTTCCTATGATTGTTTTGTTTACATTTTTGCAGAGTTAAAGATGCCTTTTTGTTGTGTAGCGGGAGTCATTCACACACATAAATAAGGATATCAAAGGCATAGAGTCAAAAGCAGAGGAAAAGGGGGACAAAACTAAATTATACTCACTTTGCACAGGGGGTATGTGCACCTTTATTATAGGGAAGAATCTAAAAGATTTGCTTAATGCATCATAGAATTAAATTCAGACCCAAGGCAGACAAAACAAACTTGGTGTCTCACAGAAGATGAAATTAATTTTATTTGTAACAAAATTTCAGCTAAAAACCTCACAAAGAGACAAACTATAGGCCGGTCACATGAGGAGGGTGAATGAGCCACTGGGGTGTGTCGGGTTGGACGCCTGCCCAGTCTGCTGACTGGGGAAACCGGGGTTACAACAGACAATCCAGATGAGCTTGCTTCCAAAGTGATCGATGAAATGTTAATGTGGAAAACAACGATCCAGACAATGCTTATCATGATCTAAAATAGGCTACAGTGTCACCGTTTAAGAGTCTTGAAACTTGATGGAGTGGAGGCTTATCATGACAGCTGGAGGAATGTAATATGGAAAAGTGCATCGTGATCCCATTTTCCCATTTTTAAATAAACATGATTGAGAGAATGGAGATAAATGAAAGAATGGTCTGAAATTGATGATTGAAAATGATACAGAGGGAGATAGTAGTTAGATTTTCAGGACCTAGCTGATGCCTTTGCCTCTTGTCTGTGGAAAGCAGATCACTTTTGCCTGTTTTTACTGTAAACCTGCAAACAGAGATTTCAAATTATGAGGAGAGTGCTCTCTAAATGTGGATGATTACATGGTTTGTTGTTGCAGAAGAGGCTCAATCAGAAATACCACAGTGCAGCATCCTCTGGTTCTGCCTGGCACATTTTTATCTGTTTTTTAATAAAGAACTTATTGAGGGATGCATCAGCACATACACATCCTGGGACTTTGTGATTATTGTAGGAAGAAATAGATTTGATTTCCTTTTGAAATGACTGTAAGCTGCAAGAAAATGGTGCTTATAACTAAACTAACTACACTGTTTTGAAGGTATTTTTACCTCTTGACCTAATGTTTGAATCTTGTAAATGATGATAAGAGCACTTTACTGCAAGTAATCAATATTCTGCACATTTTAAAAGTAACCTGCCTGTCTAAGGTGTGAAACAAAAGCCTTCCCTTCTGTTTAATTCGAGCATATTGCCCAACGCCTCCGCCATTTGTCACCCTTTGTCATCTTGCCTGGTGTTTCATCGTGTTTACAAAGGAACCTAACAGGTTTAATTTAAGATAGGATGATTATTAATTAAATTGTCTCTGTGCGTCAGCGGGCCTCCCTGAAAGGCAGAGCAGATTCAGCCTTTGATCGTTACTTTTCTTTGATGTGAGGTGTCTTTTTGTGGTAGAGACTACGGTTTGCATTTTGAATGATGAGCCAAATGGAAATTTATCATAGATGGGTTTGTATCAAGCTTCCACACACAAAACCCTTACACAGAGTCGCACACAAGTACAAATACAGCAGCCTAAAAGCAGAGAAACAAGAGCATACGTTGTTGTGATTGATGTATTTTTACTTTTTCTGATGGTGTTATTGATTTCAAAGTGACCATATGACCCCTGTCAACCTCTACTTACAGCATCCGTAACACATCCCTGACTCATCCCTGACACATCTCTGGCACAGGTCCCTTCCACTGAATTATGGCTGCCTCTCACTGACACAAATAATCAGGTTATACTGTAATTTTGCTACTGAGAGGGATCTATCAGAGGAGAAAGTAAGGAGGTAACACATTACTAAACATGCAAAATAATAGAACAATAATGTCTCATTTGTTTGGCTTGAGAGTGTGAAAATGTGAGTAGGGGATTGCAGATGAATATATTTGTGGCATACATGGTGAAACAGCTGACGAACGATGAACAAGGGAGCTGATGAAAACCTTCTTGTCGTCTTTGTGTTCTTTTTTAAAACGCTGATGGCTTTTTGGGAAATGTTGGAAAAAAATAGATTCCTTTGTCCCATGGGAGCAGTTCTTACTCGTTTCTAACTCTTCAAGTTAGACGAGAAGATCAATACCACTCTCATATGTGTTTGTTAAATATGAAGCCAGCAACCGGTTACCTTTGCATGAAGATTGGAAACAGCAATTAGTCTGGCTCTCTCCAAAGGCAACAACATATGCATATACCAGCACATGAATTAACATGGCATATCTTATTTGTTTAATTAGTACAAAAATCAGAGTGTAAAAGCAAGAAATTGTGTTTTCACAGGGTTTATGTGCAGAAGTTACCTTGCTCAGCCAAGCTACTTGTTTCCCCTTGTTTCCTGTCTTTGTGCTAAGCTAAGCTAAATGGCTGCTAGCTCCATCTTTTGTAAAGAGAGTGGTATTGATCTTCTCATCCTGGTTTTAGTCTCACAGTTGAAATCCTTTTACAAATAATGTCAGCCTTAAATGGATGCACATTACATATTTGCATTGGTGTCTTGTGATTTTGAGAGGATAGTTATTAATGATCATAAATATGAATTGACCCGGTGCTATCCAGCAGCAATATTCAGTGTGAATTATTCACTTGAGAATTGAAAGTACTGATATGGAAACTTGTTGAGGCAGTGGACAGGTATATTTAGACCGCAGCTGCTAAGGAACAGAACATTTTCCTCACATACTGTACCTGCGATGATCCCTTTACAGCCTCAGACATACATCCTGTTTGAATTATGGAGTCGAGACAACAGGAAATTATTTTTATTCCCCCCCCAGAGGAGTTTGTTTTAATAAAAAACCTATCACAGAATCAAAGTCTGAGACTTGACTGAATCTATTACACTGGAAAAATACAGATCTTCTAATCTAAATCTACAGAGATTTCTGACAAAATCAGTTTTATATTTTATCCAAAGCTCTGTTTAACATTTGATAACACTACCCCACATACAACGTCCTCCTGAAATTACTTTAGTTTGTTATATTGTGAATTTAACTGAGCATGTTTCTTCAACAAATACAAGTTTAAGGTGATTTTATAATTCAAAGAAAGGCCTGCTTTGGACTTTACATCATGTGATAACAGTATTTTTATAGGTCTATATACAGCTTGTGCAACCTTCCACATAAATGCAAGCAGAAGCAGTCTCCTTTCACCACAGATCACAAGGTCAAAATGAGAAATATCATGGTAAGTTTGTGGCTACTGTTCCTACTGATTAAATCTATAAAAATCGGTCACAACAGTGTGATTAAAAGAAAAATGACTAAATCATTTTCCCTAAAACAGCTGGGCACTTAAACTTTTAGCAAATATTTCACAAACACACTATATAGTGCAATCATGGGGACTATTTTTAGCAGTGGATTAGTACACATTTGGTGCTAGTGTTTTTATGGCAGCAGGCCAGTGTATTTGGGATTGTCTCAAAATAAAGAACAATCCCCATGTTCATCACAATGAAGAAACATGTCACCAAGAGCAAAAAAAGGTGGCTCATTTATGTGTTTTTGGACAATATTGGAGCTCTGTGGCATAAAGGAATAAACTATCAGGCTTTGAATGAACAGAAAGCACTTGTTATTACTTATATCATAGAAGAAATGCTAAATCGTGTTGAGTAGTGATTAAAAAACATGTATTAATAACAAAACTGAACCTTGTGGACACAGTTAGAGGCGTTACTTGTTGTCTTTTATTTTGTTTACCAAATGTAGGCTGCATGTGAGACACTGACATCATTGCCACACCATAAAATTCACAGCATGCTCACAGAAAGCGATGATGTATTCTCTCTGGTGTGTGTTGGTAACTTCTCCATTAAACGGTGGGCCAATAAAACTACAGGGGACGCAGCGCTCTGTACCAATGGCAGAATTGGCGTCATCGGTCTCCGGTTGCTATTTGTGTCGGGCGGCGCTCTGCTGCTGCGTCAAGCTCAACGCAATCAACCAGAGGAAAGAGCGGAAGTAGGGTGACAAAAAAAGAAAGATGCTTTTTATCTATTTTGACTGCTTTAAAAGTCTTGTTTGAGGCAAAATATACTGGTTTTATTAAGTGAATTCTATTCCGAGGTAATATCTACACAAGGAGGTTTCAGGAGGAAGCGATTTGGGAGTCAGGAAAGACGAAGCAGACAAAAAACAGATAGGTAAATAACATTAATATGTCTATAAGACTAGTATTTCCCCAGCTCTCGACACCAATTTACAACTTTAAGCATTTGTTTTGGGGCGCATTATATCACTCACAAACATTAACTGTATATAAACATTAACTGTATATATAAACATTAACTGTATATAAACATT